TGGAATGTGGGTTTTGCATTCCTCTGATCACCCTAGTAGCCCTTCTCTGCATCTGTTCCAGTTTGAATTCATCTTTTTCAAACACGGGAGACGAGAATTGCACACAGTATTCCAGATGAGGGCCCACCAGTGCTTTGTACAATGGTAATAACACCTCCCTATCTCTACTTGAAATACCTCATCTGATGCATCCTAGGACAGTATAAGCGTTTTTCATGGCCACGTCATATTGGTGGTTCATAGTCATCCTGTGATCAACCAATACACACAGGTCTTTCTCCTCCTCTGTTGCTTCCAACTGGTACATCCCCCGTTTACAGCAAAAATTCGTCGTCTTAGTCCCTAATTGCATGACCTTGCATTTTCCAATATTAAATTTAGTCTCATTTCTATTACTCCAGTTTTCAAGGTTGTCTAAATCTTCTATGATATTCTGGTTTTTCTCCATATTGGCAATACCTCCCAATTTTGTGTCATCTGCAAATTTTGTTAGCACACTCCCACTTTTTGTGCCAAGGTCATTAATGAAAAAGTTAAATAAGACTGGTCCTAAGACCGATCTCTGAGGAACTCCATTAGTAATCTCCCTCCAGCCTGACAATTTACCTTTCAATATGACCTGATGTATTCTTTCCTTTACCCAGGTCCTTATCCACCTTACAGTTCTAGCATTAATCCCCATCTTTTCCAATTTAATAATTTCCCATGTGGAATTGCATCAAATGTCTTACTGAAATCCAGATAGATTAGATCTACTGCATTTTCTTTGTCTGAAAAATCAATCTTCTCAAAGAAAGAGATCAGATGGGTCTGGCATGATCTACCTTTTGTAAAACCATGTTGAATTTATCCCAATTACCATTTTCCTCTATGTCATTAACTACTTTATCTTTCAAAATTTGTTCCAAGATCTTGCTAAAAATTGAGGTCAAACTAACAGGCCTGTGGTTTATTGGATAACTTTCCCCCCATTCTTAAAAATAGGAACTATATTAGGAATTCTTTAGTCATAGGATATGACCCCTGAATTTACAGATTCATTAAAAATCCTTGCACATGGGTTTGCAATTTTATGTGCCAGTTCCTTTAATATTCGTGGGTGGAGATTAGCTAGGCCTCCCAATTTGGTCCAACTAAGATTTTTGAGTTTGACTTCCACCTCAGATGTGCTAATTTTTACTTCCATATCATCATTCCTATTAGCCACTCTGCCACTATCCCTAAGCTCATTACCCTTATTCAAAACTGAGGCAAAATATTTGTTTAGGTGATGTGACATGCCTAGATTATCTTTAATCTCTCCCCCCTGCCCACCCCATCATCAGTGCTTGGTGGTCCCAGTTCTTTCTTTGATTTTTTAAAAAATATTTGGCTATAGAACCTTTTACTATTGGTTTTAATTTCCTTTGCAAGGTCCAGCTCTGCTTGGGTTTTGGTAGCTCTCAATTTTTCCCTACACTATATGACCTCTAAAAGGTAGCTTTCCTTGCTGATCCTTCCAATCTTCCATTCCTTGTAGGCTTTCTGCTTTCTCTTAACAACATGTTTGAGATGCTTGCTCATCCACTTTGATCTGCAAAACTTCCCTACAATGTTTCCCCCTTGCTTGGGATGCAGACTTCAGATAGTTTCTGCAACTTTGACTTAAAGTAATTTCAAACCTCCTCCACATTAAGATCTTGAGTTCTTCAGTCCAGTCCATGTCCCTAACAAATTCCCTTAATGTTTTAAAGTTTGCCTTTTTGAAATCAAAGACCCTATTAGCAGGCCTTTTTTTGTAATCCTTCTATTTAGTTTAAACTGAGTTAGCCCATGATCACTCATACCAAGGTTGTCCTCTACAACCAGTTCTTCAATGGGGTCCCCACTACTTACCAATGCTAAATCTAGAATGACATCACCTTTAGTTGGTTCAGAGAGTATTTGGTGAAGAAATCTGACAGTTGTCGCAACCAGGAATATCTGTGCTCTACCATTATTAGGAGCACTTGTCCTCTAATCAATATCTGGGAAATTAAAGTTTTCCATTATGACACAATTCCCATCATATTTATTTCATTACAATATTAAAGAGGTCTCTATCCATATCCATATTGGATCCTGGGTGTCTGTAGCATACCTCATGCACTATCCCAGGGGTACCTCTAGTAGCTTTTCTCCCCCAGGTGAGTTTGACTTAAACAGGTTCTGCTTTATCCAGTCCATCACTTCTAATTTCTTTTCATTCTAGCTCATCAATAATATACAAAGCTAGTCCACCACCCTTCCCTTTATTTCTGTCTTTCCTGAACAGCACATATCCTTCAATACCTGTACTTCAATCATTAATAATATTCTACTATGTTTCTATTATCCCTATAATATCTGGTTTCACTTCCTACACCAGTAGTTCTAGTTCCTTCATTTTGTTATCTAGACTTCTTGAATTGGTGTACAGACATCTTTGTTATTTCTGCTTGGCTTCACCCAGATTCCACACCTGACTAGGTACAGTCATTCTACTGCCAGTCTTGCCTACCTGACTGTTAGTGTCATGGGTATCAGCACTATCTTTCCTTTTGATGTCCATTCTACTGCTCCCTGTTGTTCCTTTCTCCATTGCTCTGTCCTCTCTTACTTGATTTTCCTCCCCCTCAATGTTAGAATCAGGCATGGAGATTCCATGAGCATCTCCCAACTGTCTCCCATGAATTCCTAATTTAAAGCTCTTTTAATCAGTTGTGCCAACCTCCATCCCAGAAGTCTATTTACCTCCCTACTCAGGTGGAGTCAATCCCATGAGAATTATCCTCTATCCATGAATGCCTCCTAGTGTTCGAACATCCCAAAGCCTTCCTTATAGCACCACTGCCTGAGCCATCTGTTGATCATCATAATCTTGTCGCACCTTCGTTCTCCTCCTCTAGTGACAGGTAGAATCCCACTGAAGATCACCTGAGCCTCCATTTCCTTGTTTCTCCCTCAGCCTGGCATAGCTTCCCTTGATTCATTCCAGTGAGAATGTAGCAGTATCATTTGTTCCCACATGAAGGACAGTCAGTGGATTCTTTCCTGCTTCCATTAGGATCCTCTTCAGCCTCAGGTCCATATCCCATATCTTAGCTTGCAGCAGACAGCACACTCTTCCGTTCTCCGGATCAGTTCTGTTCTTCTTAGTAGGCCATCTCCAGTCATTTATACCTGCCTCTTCCTGTTGGTGGTGCAATTCTCTGACCTTCCTCCTTCTGTTCTTTCTTGGGCAAGTCTTTCCTTCTGTTTTCACTTGGACTTAAAGTTGCACCACAACTGTTTGTAAGGGTTCAATTCTGCACCCACTGTATTCAATGGAGTTCAAATTCAAAGAACTTCCAGTGTCTGAAGTTTCAGGCACTTAATGAATGTATGTTGCCATAGCAATAAGTGCTTTAAAATGCTGATTGATAGCTAGGCAGGTAGATTGGATTTTAATATTGGCGCGAAGAATAGGTAATGTTTTAAGTGCATAAATAGTCAGCGGATAAGCAGTGCCTTAAGGGTAACATTTTCAAAAGTGACTTGAAGCAAAAATTATATAGTTAACTACCACATTGTTTGCCCAAGCAATTAAAAGAAATGAAATTATAATATAACAGATGCCATAAATCGCACCCTGCCTACTTGGCAAACAGTAGCATATAAGTATTGTCATATAGAAGGAAATACTCATTTTGTCACTGTGTAAACTAGCCTTATTAACTCTGCCATCATGGGGTCATTCCCTGAGTCTAGACGTCAGCATTTTTTATGTCAAGGGACAATTAGCAAACAAACAAACAAAAAAACCTGCCATCAGAAACCAGTCTAGTAAAAAAAAGCCTCAGAAAATCCATTGGTTTTCAATTGTCTCCAATTGGGCATTCAAAATTGCTAGTCAATCTTGACCATGGACCTCCCTGGGACTATGCCTGGAGTAGGGTACCATTCAAGGAAAACAAAATTTGGTCCAATGGATTTATGTTAAAGCTGATCTGCCCCCATTTCTCTGGACTCCGCTGTATGAGCATTGGTTTGCAAGGCCTTACACAAAACATGATGGCATTTCTCTGTTTGGACGGGAAATAAATGGGTTCCTGCTAGATAACTGAGTACTGAAACATCAGGTGATCAAGACCAATTTGGTTTATTCAAGTTGGGTTTCCCTGACTGAAGACATGTTACAGACAGGAAATTACCTACCTACATTTAGGTCACCAAGCTATCCACTTACACTCGGGTTGAGGTGCTTAATAATCTACAGGTCTTTTAAAGCCCCTCAACCCATTGTTTATTTCATATTACAATTTGCAGCTAATTGCATAACTTATTATTGTCCAATTACTATCAAATGTCAACCTTGCAGTTAATTGCTTAGAGAGTTACATTTAATAAACTCCAAATTTGCAGCATAAAAAAGATCACAACAGTTTTGGCCAATGAAGACAATAACACTTTAAAATTAGGGCTGTCGATTAATCCCAGCTAACTCACACAGTTAATTATCCTGGGTTCTGGGCTGGTCGGTTTGTACAGCCTGGACTGAAGCTTGTGCTGCTGCAGCGTCACTGTTCCAGGACTTGAGCTAGCAAGATTAAAGAGCTCACAGGCAATGCCTGCAGAATAGACACGCCCTGCGTCTCTGGCCCATTGTGCCTCAGGGAAAGTCAGTGCCCCCAGCAGCCCTGGAGAAGGCCAGGTGCAGTGCCACGCTTGGAAAGCAGTGGTGCTGGAATCACATGGCCTTGCCCTCCCCGAGCACTAGGACTATGACAGTGAGTGTCCCTTCCGCCACAACAAAGGTTCTCATGTGATCTCCCACCTCCATTCACTCCCACACTGGCTGCACATAATGACACCCCCCCATATTGTTTAGCTTTCCCTGCAACATGCAGTGATACAGAAGGAAGGGAAGGAACAGCCTGGTGTATTTCAAGGGGGAATAATGAGAAATCAGGTGTCCTGTATGTCTCAGCATCTGTGTCTATTTTGATTGCTGCTCTCATTTCAGATCAGCCCCTGTGACTCTCCCACATGAGCTACCAGAGGCATGGAGCTACGGGGACAGCTCTCCAGCTGCTTGTTCTGTGCCATACTCCTAGCAGCAATTCCTTTTTCAGGTAAAAGCATTGTCGGTAAAAGCACTTCTCCGCAGCACAAAATCCCTGGAGAGAGACCCCAAACCTGCACAAAACCCCTGCTGGTATCTGTGTTTCAGCAGAGAAAATGATTTTGTTTGTGTTATTGAGATACAAACAGGCGGCATTGGGGATCTGGTCCTGGAAGCATCTGGATGCTCTCAGTTCCTACTGAGCTCAGCATCTCACAGCAGGTTCTCAGCACCTTGCAGTTACAGAGCCTTTGTTAGCCCTGGTTTCCCCACTGGGATGCTCAGTTGATCATGAACCTGCTGTCAGTAGGAGGTGGAGTTGTGCTATTTGTCTTCTGTGGAGATCTGCCCCAATTCTAGCCATCGGGGAAAGATGACCAATGCAAACCCTTAGTGTAGAAAAGAAAAATACACAATTTGACTTGGTTGAGTTTATCCCAGTTTTAAACTGGATAAGCTGCACTAGTGGAAATTGCATCTTGGTCTGTTTATATCTAGTGGGTTGCACTGGTGCCCCTAGTGGCTGATGGCTGGAATCAGGGCAAACAGAGGGTTGACATTTTCATTTGAAACTTTTTTTTCCAATAGAAAAATTTCCTTTTCCCAACAATGACCATTTTCTGAAGATTTTTTTTAATTTTATGATCTTTCAACAGACTTCCTTTTCCCCTTTCTCCATTCCCTCCCCTCATTTCTTATTTTATAACTGAAAAAGGAGAAAAGTGAGAAAAAACACAGAAGCTGCTTCCCCCCCCAAAAAACAAACAAAAAAATCTTCTCTTTAATCAAAACATTGGAAAACTTTGAATTGTTTCACAAAGAAAGGAAAAAAATGAGATTTTTTTCTACATTTCTTGAAACATATCTTAACGTTTTCCAAAAGCTCTCATAGGCCAGCCCTAGAATCTCCCAGGCAGGCTCTTGTTAAATATTTGACACATTCGATCTGTTATACAATGTCTTGTACTCCAATGGTGCAATAACAAAACTGAACTTCATTCTTCTTTGACTCCCATCTGTCAGCGCAGCAGTTACGATGGGGTCTGAGTGGCGTCTTTCCACCGCTTTCGGTCTTGAACCAGCTTCACGGCTTTGTTTGTCTTTAAAACTTTTTGTTCTATGTCACAGTTTCTATCCAATGCATTCTCAGTCTTCCTCTATTTCTAGTTCCTTGCATTCTGGCATGTACAGCCATATATGGTATCCTTTTCAGGCCCATTCCTGACATGTCAAACCACCATGGTTATCCTTCTTGAATCTTCTGCAACAGACTTGTTTCTTGCCCTATCCATTTTCTTATCACTTCATTTTTTATTTTCTGCAGTCTGGAAACTCTCAGTATTCCCCCCAGCCAGTTCATTTCTGCAGTCAATATTTTTCCATTACTTGACTTTCCTCATACTCCAGTATTCCTACCTCCACAGCGGTATCAGCAAGGCATTTGTCTCAAACATACTGAGCTGCTTTGTTATAAACATGTCTTTAGCCTTCCAGAGGTGGCAGATTTTTCTGAATGCAATAGCAGCTTGTATGATTCTTCTTATGTCATTTTCCTCATTCCTATTCTTTGATACTTTTCCTAAAGATGCACAATTATTCCACTTCTTCTAGTTCTTTGTCTCTGACTTTGATCTTTACCTCTTCTTCTTGTCTTCCAATTGCCATAATTTTTGTCTTCCCTGTGCCGATGCTTAGTCCAAACTTTTCTACTTTCCTGGTCTACATTGCCAGTAATTCTCTGTAAATCCTCCTTGGTCAATGCTATGAGATCAATATCAGTTTCAAAGCTAAGGTTTTTAATAAGAATACTAATCTGAGATCCTTTTTACTAATTAACAATAACAATAGCAATCAAGTACATATTTGCAGAGTATTTCCATTCTTTAATTTATGAAAATAGATTCCTGTCCCACCTGTTGGAATTCATGGCTATTACAGACACCATCAGTTTTATTCTGGACAAACCCTCAGGATATGATTACAATGCAGTCAGAGGACTGATTGCAGCTCAGGTAGGAATATCTGTGCTAGCTTGAACGTAGCTAGCTTCGTTAAAAATACCACGGGAGACACAGCAGCACGAACCCCTCTGTGCACTAGGAATGTGAGTATGTATCCAGAGTTCCAGGCGGGCTTATACAGCTGAAGCCCATGCCACCATGAGTTCATTGCTCTTTTTAGCCAGGCTAGCTACATTCAAGCTAGCACTGGCATATCTACTGAGCTGCAATCACTGCCACAGTTGCAGTGTAGACACTTCTTCATTTAGGTTTCCTTCTTTCAGAGAGTTTTGAAGTCATCTCGTCCCCAACTGTCACTGGGATCGTCGGCCAGGATGTGGTCTTACCGTGCCAGATCTCCACCAGGACACAGCCGGCCAATATGGAAGTGCAGTGGAAGAAAATCATCCTGGCGAATATAGAGATTGTCCATGAATACAGAGCCCAGACAGGCCAGGATGTGCCAGGGCTGAACTACCAGGGCCGGACTGCGCTGTTGAAGGATGGATTCAGCTCTGGGAATGTGTCTTTAAAGCTGAAGAACATCCAACTGGCTGATAGGGGAACATACAACTGCATTGTGAAGTCTAATGAGCGGAGCGCTGATGCTACAACTGAGCTTCAAATTGCAGGTTGGTGATTTCATTGGCAGGGTCAGATTTTGCCTGTCCATGATGCAGATGTGCAGTGAGAAGAGAACACAAGGCTCCTTGTCCCTCTCTGCGACCTGTATAAAGGCCAGGCAGAACTTCAGTCCCTGTCCCTCATGGTGCCCTGAGGGTGCTGAGCAGGAGGCAGACCGAGCTCAGCCCCACATGAACCAGCCAGTGGAGCTGCCAAGCTCTGCAAAGGGCTGCAAGCTGCATGTAGCATCCTGTGTACACCTAGGAGCTATGGGGTAGGACAACTTCCCACCAGCCCCTTACTCAAAAGTGTGCCTCTACGGGGCAACTGAGCCCTAAACGCAGACAGTATGAAACACTGGGCCTGATTTTCAGTCACACCAAGGACTCCTTATGCTGCACTGGCAGTGTAAAGGGGTCTTCAAGTGGGGAGAAATGGCCCCATGAGAATAAGCCCTGGCCGGTCTCTGACAGGCTTAATGGCTTTAAAGACACTCAGCATCCAGCCTCCAACAGAAGGGCAGATTGGGATGTGTTAGGCACCTGGGCAGAGCACAATGCACCATGGATATCCTCTGCTTACCAGGTCCCATGGGAACCAGCTCCTCTAACTTAAACCAGGGGGCTGGGCAGGCCTTACCTAGCCCCAGAATACAGAGAGAGTGAAGGTGGCTTAAAGGACTTTGTCTCTTCCATCCTTGCCCAAGTGCAGGGACTAGGGAGCGGAGAAACAGGCCCAGACCTATGCGATCCCGGTCTAAGGACTTGTGTGAACTTCAGTGTAGACAAACACTACAGCAACAGGAGGGGTTCTGCCATTACAGTAGTGAATCCATCTTCCTGAGAGGCGAAAGCTGGGTTGACAGAAGAATTCTTGCATCAACCTAGTGCTTTCAACACTGAGCTTAGGTCGGCTTAACTGCACCACTCTAGGGTGTGGATTTTTCTCCCCCCACCCCCAGCCCCTCTGAGCAATGTAGCTGGGTCGACCTAACTTTTGAGTGTAATCCTGGCCTGAGTATTGGTATTGGCATGTGGCATTCTGGAGGCCAGGCAGCCGTGAAACTTGCCACTTACTGTGGAGACTCACCATGATCTGAAATCCCCTGGAGAAGCAGGTGAAGAATTTCTTTGAACTCCAGCAGGAAAAAACACAGAAATTAGGACAGTGCCCTGAGTTAAAAATAAAGCCATAAGAAAGGGACAGTGCTGTTTTCCAGAAGATAGTCCCTTCCGAAACTCGCTCTTGTTGCTTTAGCTGTTGCTTCTTTGTCCATTGATGTGCTGGGTCCCCAGGGCCAGGGGATTGACCTAGCCTGCAGGTCAACGGGGTGGTTCCCCAAACCTGAACTCCACTGGGTTACAAAAAATGGGCAGGATCTGCAGCCTGTGACCAAAAGAGAGCAGGATCATGAACTTCTCTCCAGTGTTCTGAGCCAAGTCACAATCCTGGGAGAGGAAACTGGAGAAATCAGCTGCGTTATCCAGACCAGCCTGTAAGCGGAGACTGGCCAATAGCTAATATAGCAACACTTTTATGTAAAAAAAGGCTTCAGAGGTGATCCGGGGCAATTACAGGCTGGTATGTCTAACTTCAGTACCAGGCAAAT